CGTGACGTCAAGCTCGTCGACGAGGGTGCGAAGCCGTCGACGACAGGGGAGCAGCGGGCGGGCCGTTGATAGGGGAGCTGTCGACGAAGGAGGCGTCCGCAGAGGAGCCGCCGACAGGGGAGCAGCTCGACGAGTCGTCGAACGATGTTGTGGAGGTTGTTGGTGATCCCGGCAACGATGAAGGGGAGCTGTCCGCAGAGGAGCAGTCCACTGACAGCGACGTGGTGGAAGTCAAAGCCGACGAGCCAAAGCTGCGACGTTCCACTTGTTCCAACTTTGGCAATCCTCGCGAGAAGCTGAGCTACTACGCTTGCCTGCCACCGACCTCCTACCTGTCTGAGCTCGACCCCGACGTACACGCCGACCCAGAGCACCGCCGGGACATCGCGACGATGACGGTGAAGGAGGCGTTGGCGAGCTGGAAGTGCAAGGCGGTGAAGGCCGCCATGGACGAGGAAATTCGCAGCCTCATCGCCAACGGCACATGGGAGCTAGTCGAACATCCGCGCGGGGTGAACATCATGAAGAACCGGTGGGTGCTGATGACGAAGTACCACATCGACGACACGGTCGCCCGCGAGAAGGCGCGCTTGGCCGTAAAGGGCTTCACGCAGGTGTACGGTGCTGACTACGACGAGACGTACACTCTGGTTGGAAGCTACGTCACGCTGAGGATCTTCCTCAGCATCGTCGCCTTCCTCGACCTCCACCTGATGCAGCTCGACATGAAGAAAGCATTTCTGCAGAGCAAGCTTGACAGGATGCTATACATGTACCAGCCGGACTACTACGACGACTGTACCTGCCGGGTGTGCAAGCTGCCGAAGAGTCTGTACGGGCTGAAGCAGTCGCCGCTGCTGTGGTACTCGGCGCTCGACGCAGTGCTGAACGGTGCCGACTGGAAGAAGAGCAAGGTCGACGAGGCTCTCTACTTAAAGGTCGGCGACGACGGAGTGACCTGCTGGGTGCTGGTCTACATCCACGACCTGCTCACCGCCAGCAGCAGCCTTGCTATGGTGAAGGAGCTGAAGGAGCTGCTGGAGGCTGCATTTGAGCTGCGCGAGATCAGCCCGGTCGAGAAGTATCTCGGGCTGGAAATTGTGCGCGACCGACCTGCGCGGAAGCTGTGGCTTCACCAGCAGACCTACGTTGACAAGCTGCGCACACGCTTCATCCACGAAGAGCAGACCGGGCAGATCCCGAAGATACCGGTCTCCGTCGACGCCTACGCCGAGCTGACATTCGACGACGAGGATGCTCGGTCGCGCGAAGAGGAAGAATACCGACAGAAGGTCGGCTCGCTGCAGCTCGCGGCAACGACGACGAGGCCGGGCATCGCCTTCGCGTGCGGCAAGCTGGGAAGCGGCCTGACGGTGCGGAGCGACAACCATTGGCGTGAGGTTGACCGATGCCTGAACTACCTAGCCGATACCCGTGACACCGCCCTGCAGTTCGGCGGTGGACCAGAGTCGCTGTGTCTGGTGGGCTACGTGGACGCCGACGACGCGGGCGACAAGCAGAACCGGACGAGCGCAGGCGGCTACGTGTTTGTCTCCAGAGGGGCCACATCTTCCTGATCGAGCCAGCGCATCAAGTGCGCGACGCTCTCGTCGACCGAGTCGGAGTACGTCGCGGCCAGGGAAGCCGGCAAGGAGGCTCGTCGACTTCGCTTCCTCCTTGCAGAGTTCCAGGTGCTCGACGACGGGACGCCGACTAACCTTCGTGTGGACAACCAGTCGGCCATCACGGTCGCTGAGGGCTTGGGGCTGAAAGGCAACCTCAAGCATATGGAGCGACGCTACGCCTGGTTGCAGAAGATGGTGAAGCGCGGGAAGTTCGTATTGCGGTACATCCCGACCAACGAGCAGCCGGCAAACTTCCTGACGAAGGCGCTGCACTTTCCGGCCTTCAACCGGTGCTCCGTCGCGATCGGCCAAGTTCGTCAGGCCGACGTCGGCGACGGTGACAACGACGTGCAGAAGTAGGTGCCATGTCCTTCAACATGGCTGGTGCGGTGAAATGTTGCGCGACCACGAACGCGCCGACGAAGTTCATTTCGTCACCCTGTACTCTACGATAGCTAGTTTCCTTTCGCAGAGTGTTAATCTCCTTTGTGCCCATGCGCTAGCAGGGCAGGGAAGTGTTGAGAGGAGCCCTGCATGTGCATGGGCGACATCTAGAGCTTCTGCACAGGCTGGGCCAAGAACCTCGTGCACAAGGAGAAAGGTTGCCTGTACAAGGGGTGTACAGGGGAACCCGTGCACGAGCAACTGTAGCATCCGCAGGTGCAGCGGAAACATTTCGTGCACTAGCGCAGGGGGCGCAGCTGGTGCAAAGGTTCGAGAAAGTCATCTGCGCTAGGTCGCGTCCGACCCTGCGCACCCTCGCGAATGCACAATTGAATTTCGACGAGAAATTCAATGTGCGCGAATTTCAACCAATGAGGGCTCAGGGAATTTCGACCAATCAGGTCTTGGCGGAAATTGTACCCGCCAAAAGAAATTGAACCAGCAACAGAAAGAGAACCTGCTACGTTTTTGTAACCACAAAAACGTGCACACCTATGCATGGTGTACAAACTGGGCAACTACTTAGTTAGGTGAAAAATACATGGGCTTGTTTTTCACCTGCCATTGTTGGCAAGGCACATGCTTGGTAGTTAGTTAAACGTTCCTCTTGGAACGTTTTTGCAGGGATCCTTTGCTCTTATATATTGGTTCAATCTTTGCTTGTACTCTACTTGTTCAACTCCTTTTCTTGGTGAAACCTATGCTTGGATTCTACTAAGTCAACAATAACTCTATTAAGAGCAACAGCCTGGATTTTACCCTTCGCGCCATCACGCGATTCTGATCTCCCCCGTAGGTTGCAATTCTCCACTAACACTTCTCATTTTATGATTCGCTAATTGGTTGTGCATCAATAACATCAGCAGCAGCATCAGCAGTAGCGTAAACAGTTCCACCATCAACCGTATTGAAAATTTGGGTGGTGGAGGTGGGTTGAGAAGGGAGTTGTCCGGGAAGAGTCTATCAAAATAGGTTCTTAACTCAAGCCTTAGTTGCTTAGGGTTTGGGTAGGAAGGTTGAGTGTCGAGAGTGATTGAACAAAGAAGTGGGTGCACTATAGCATGTGGGTACAAGTTATAGGCAAGAATGCAAGGGGTGCACCACCAACATTAGGCTACACTACACTATGTTAATGCAAAGGGCAGTTATATAGAAATATGTTTCTTGACACGCCCCCATAACTGCCAACAGCAATAACAATGTGAAGTTGACGCCCCCTGAAGGGGTACACCAAACAGAGTGCGCAGCGGACGAAGGAGAGAAGTACCAAGGAGGAGGTGAGAGAGAGAGAGAGAGACAAGCAAGCGGTGAAGTCGCCGGGGTGGGCGGCGGAGGAGGCAGCACGGACAAAACACGGCATGTACACGGGAAGGCCGGGGTGGGTGGGATGCTTTGGCATGGCGGTGGAATCGTACGGGGCAATGGCGAAGGATACGCAGCGATTCTTCAGGCTCCTGGGCACGACAGGAGCCAAGAAGAGGTTCAGACAGGGGAGGTCAACCGCGGTTGCCTCTAGGCTCACCGCCCACTACCGACAGCGTTGGTCGGTGCTCCTCCAGCGCTGCCAAGCCAACGCCCTGCTCGCCAAGTCGAACAGGGCAGCGGAGGCAGAATACCCACAGGGCCCCTCTGACCCGTGGGAGCCTCAGCTGGGGGACCTGTGGCAGGTCCTGGAGGACGGGTACGTCCAGGACTGGAGCTGGGGAGAGTAAAGGCCTGAGAGGCCGATGAGGTGGCAAGGGTAGCCTGCGGCGGGGTGGATGGCCCTACAAGTGGATAGGGGGCTTGGGTGGTATGTCTAGGACTAAGGCCACGAGTCAAAGGCCGTGCACGCTTGCTTGCTTAGGATGGATGCTTACTCATATCCTAGATTTGCTTGCATGCTTGCCAGGACTAGCTCTCACCCTGCCTGTACCATCCTTTACATCAATGAAGGACCGCTTGAGAGAGAGAGAGAGAGAGAGAGAGAGAGAGAGAGAGAGAGAGAGAGAGAGAGAGAGAGAGAGAGAGAGAGAGAGCGAGAGAGAGATGGCTTGGGGTTAGTCCTTAGCCGTTTTTCAGCCTCTTAGTCCTAGTCCTTAGTCCTTAGCCGTTTTCCTGCCTAGTTCCCTAGTATAAAGTCCTTAGATGCACCCTTTTGAGCTCATTCTTCATTGGTGAGTTCAGTTCACCCTCCAAAATCGAACGCTCGTTCGAGAGAGAGCGAGAGAGAGAGAGAGAGAGAGAGAGAGAGAGAGAGAGAGAGAGAGAGAGAGAGAGAGAGAGAGAGAGAGAGAGAGAGAGATGGCTTGGGGTTAGTCCTTAGCCGTTTTTCAGCCTCTTAGTCCTAGTCCTTAGTCCTTAGCCGTTTTCCTGCCTAGCTCCCTAGTATAAAGTCCTTAGATGCACCCTTTTGAGCTCATTCTTCATTGGTGAGTTCAGTTCACCCTCCAAAATCGGACGGCTCGCGCCGGCCGCCTTCGGCGGCCGCCGCTCGCTAGCGCGGCCTTCGGCCGCGCGTGAGGGGTGGCAAGGTCATAGGGAACAAGGACTATAGCAAGGGGAAGTACAACATGCAGTACTAAATAGCACACACCACCAACAACACCCCCTGGTGCGGAGTAACCACCATGGGGAAGCCCAAGGCCGTGCCTGCCGCCAAGGGGGCCAGCAAGGGGAAAACCGCGGCTACTCGGCGAGTATCCAGCAAAGCCTCCCGTCCATCCAGAGCAGGACGGATGCGGCTGCAACAAGGCCGAGAGGGGCCCCACGGGCTGACTCAGCAAGCCGCAACATCGCCCCGGGGCCGGGCCCGAGCGCTGCACCAGGGGCGCCCGGCACAAGGCCGATCAGGGGGAGGTAATGCAACATCTCAGTTGCCGCTGCCACTGCCGCCGACTGCTCCGATGGTTCCATCCCCCCAACCTCGACACTCTGGCGCGCCAAACACACATGGAGCTGGTCCAGGACATACGACAGCAGAGTTAGGCACGTCCCCACGTGCATTACGCGCTGCTCGACGTGGAGAGGCGTCGCAGCAACACGAGCAGCAGCAGCACGAGGGGCGGGCGGGACGGGAGGGAACAGTAGCACTTGGGGAGTTGGCGGCTGATGCAGCTGAGGCTGGGGCAGCGGAAACTGGTTTGTCGGCGGCTGCTGTTGCTGCTGAGCCCGGGGCAGCGGCGCTGCTGGAGGAGACCGACGTGGCCGCTGCGGCTGAGGTGACGGGGACGGCGCGGGAGGGGGCACAAACGGCTGGGACGGCGGGGGGAGCGTCTGCTGCCGAGACTGCTGCCGCCTCTGACGGCGGCTTAATTTCGCCCGCTGAGGTACGCCCGACTGCGCCGCCGCTACATGTGGGCGGGGGTCGGGCCGCGGAGGAGAGTCAGATGGTACCGGAGCCGGCTGCATCCCCGTCACCGCTCGGGACGGCTGAGGTTGCTGCGGTCGTGGCGGAGGCAGCGAGGCGACAGCAACTACCCCCGAACGAAGAGACGGCGCCGCCTGCCGCTGAGTCCGCCGGAACACCTGTTGCTGCCGTGGCCGCAAACAGGCAGGGGCACGGCCGGGCGGGGAGCGGTAGACCGGGTCCCGGGACTGGCGCCGCTGCTTGCGCCGCTCGCGGGAAGAAGCTCCGCGCCCAGCCAGCACCGAGGCGGCCCGGAGCAGGGTTGGGACCTGGCGTCCCAGGACCCCTCCTGGGCTGGTTGCTGCAAGGGCAGTCGCCACAAGTGCCAGCGCATCCGTCGCCATCTCACGTCGGAGCGTCTGTGGCGAATTCCGCCGCGCAGACAACGACGCAGGTTGCGCCAACGCAGGCGCCGGGAATTCAGGTCTGCAGTAACAATGGGGAGCCGGCGGTGACAGGTACAACAGCAGCAGCAGCAGGCACGAACGTAGCGGCGGCGGCTGTAGGGACCAGGCGGTCGGCACGGTTGGGAGCGATAACCTGGGGACCACCACGGGATGGCCGTACGCCGTGGATGCCGGCGGGCCGCGGTGGCAACGGAGTGGCGGAAACGGCGGGCGCGGCTGGGCGGGGACAACGAGGGGTTTTGCGCAGGGGGATGAGAGGCGGACGGGGAGGGCGCAACCAACCACCCAGATCGGAAATCCCCGCGAGGACTGGTCCCTGGCGGGAGCGTCACGCCAGGCCTGAAAGAGTGATCCTGCAGACGAATGAGGGACAAGAAGCTTCTGACAACCCCGGGGCCGACCCAGAGTTTATGGCTGGGGAGGAGGAGACCTCTGAAGAAATCTCGTTGGAAGACGAGGAGGCACCCAGGAGGAGGAACAACCCTGAACCTCAAACCGGGGGGGGTATTCCTAGCAACCCAGCGGTAGGAGGAGCACCTGCCACGGAGGAGACTGACGTGCCTTCGCCGGCCGACCTGGCCGGCGACGACGCCATCTGGCACATGGCAGGGGAGTGGAATGTAGACGTGCTTCAGCGAGGGGACCAGCCATTCCTCGTCCGCCGGCTGCCACCACACCTCCTGGACAGATACTGTCTGTGCATGCTGGCAGCACTCATTCGCCTGGATAAAAATCCCAGCTGCCCAGGTGGTTGGATGGTGCTGCTGTTCCTTCCGAGGCTCACCCTCAGGCCTGCGCCCGAACCTGTCTTGGGGAGTCGCTGGGCAGCGATTGAAGCTAGGCTGCACAAATTCCAACGAGGCGAATGGTCCGAGCTCTTCGAGGAAGCAGGATTCATCCCCGACACAGGAGCCCCGGTACGGCACCAGCCTGACGAGGAAGGGGTTTGTGCACGAGCGGAGGGGTTAGTGAAAAAAGGAAACATTTCGAAAGCGGTAGCGGCTCTGCGAACGTCCCCCCTAGCAGAAGCAACCCCGGCTACACTTGAAGCTCTGCAAGCGAAACACCCTGCAGCGGGTAGCCAGATACGGGCGTGGGTTACCGGAATCACAGAGTCAGAACTGGCGGTTTCGCTGGACTCGCTTCGCGAAATCCTGGCGAAGTGCCCGAATGGTGTTGGGGCGGGACCCTCTGGTACTTGTTTTGAACACCTCCTAGACCCCGCCCTAGCTAACGAAGAGCTGCTGCTATTTTTCGCCAAGATGGTAAATCGGTTGCTCAGCACTTTCCAGGCCTCCCACGTAAGGAAATTGCTACTGCCTTCCCGTCTGATCGCTCTAGAGAAGCCGAATGGGGGAGTGCGGCCTATAGCAATAGGCGAAACCCTGCTACGCATAGTGGCGAAGGCGGCGCTGCATACCCTTGGGCCCAAGATTAGGGATTTTTTCTTACCAGTTCAGCTTGGCGTGGCAGTTCCAGGAGGTGCGGAGTGCATCATCCATACCGTCCGCTCTCTACTCCGTGAGGACAAGACCCGCATTGCCCTCCAGCTAGACATCGAAAACGCTTTTAACAGTGTCGAGCGACGGGCTTTCCTAGGCTCGCTGCAGTGGTCCAACCTGAGCTCGCTACTTCCCCTTGTCCGAAACCTGTACGACGGTCCATCGCCATTGCTCGTAGATGCTCGACTGGGAGTAGACCAAATCCAGAGCTCACGTGGCGTCAGACAGGGAGATCCCTTGGGCCCTCTCTTGTTTGCGGCAGCGATCCAGCCAGCCCTCATGAGCGTCTCGGCGACAACACCGGAAGTGGCAGTGGTAGCCTACGCGGACGACATCACCATTATCGGCCAGCGGGAAGCAGCGTGCCGTGCCTTCACCAAGATAGCGGATGACTTGGCAGAATATGGACTACGCTGCAACATTTCAAAGTCATCGGCGTGGGGAGCTGCGCACGACGGAGAGAACGAGGAGCTACCACTAGGCTTAGTTGCAGACCCGGGCGGGATACGGGTCCTTGGCAGTCCTATCGGCAGCAACGACTTCTGCACCACCCAAGTCCGGGCGGCACTGGAGGAAGCTGCCTCGCCCCTTCCCCTTGTCTCTCAGCTCAACCCGCAACATGCCATGCTTATAGTCTCCCGCAGCATCTCTCGCCGCATCTCATACATGCTGAGGACTACGCCGGCGACGACCCTGGGCGCAGAGGAGTGGAGGGACTGGAGTGAGGCATTGGTTGGCTCGGCGCTCACAGCTGCAAAGCTTCGCATCCCCAACTCGGAGTTGGAGCAGAGCCTACTGTGGCGACAGGCTACCCTCCCGATTCGGCTGGGTGGTTTAGGAATCATTGACCCTGTCTCGGAGGCCCCGGCTGCCTACATTGCTTCTGTCACGGCAGCGCACACCCTTCTCCAGCACCTGAATCTTCCCCCGGACTGCCTGCTACACAGAGCAACGGCCCTGCTCTCCCACGATTGGAGCCCACCACTGCCGGACAGCAGCACACTGTCGAGCTTAGAGGAGGGGCTGCCAGCTCAGGCACAGGTGGCGCTGGGAGCCTACAGGACGGGGAACAAGGGCACAGGCAGCCTGCAGCTGTGCCTCTCCGAAATCATCAACCAGCAGCGCGCGGTCGAGCTCCTGGGGGACACGGTGGTGGACAGGCCTGGCACCAACAGGGGTCACACGCTGAGACTGATAAGCCTGAGAGGGACTGGCGCGGGCGACTGGCTACACGCGGTACCAACGAGAGCTGACCTCTCTATTTCCCCTGGTCAGTTCTCGTTGGCCCTGGGCCTACGCTTGGGCATGGAGTTGCCAGAAACTGAGGTGTGCCCGTGCAAACGTGACAACTCAGCGATTGGGGACAAGAGTCTGCCGAACCACCTGCTGCGCTGCCAGGACGGGGGCGATGCAGTCAGAACCCACAACACCCTAGTCTACGCGGCGCTGCGGATGGCTAATGAAGCGGGCTACAAAACGTTTCATGAGACCTCAGCATTCTCACCGCCAGTCCTCAGGAAACGAGCAGACCTAGCGATACGGGACCAGGAGTCAGGGGAAACATGGGTGACGGATGTCACCGTGACGGACCCAGTATTACAGAACAGAGACAGCAGGGCCCGCAGGCCGCCTGGGTGGGCCGCGGAGGAAGCCTCACAGAGGAAGCATCGGCTCTATGAAGGGCGCCCCACCTATGCCGGATTCTTTGGGCTGGCTGTCGAGACCTACGGGGCCATGGCGGCGGACACAGTCCAGTTCCTTCGCATGCTTGCTACCCACGCAGCGAGGACGAAGTTCAGACAGGGGCGCCTCACAACAACTGCCACTCGGCTCAACGCACACTACCGACAGAGGTGGTCGGTGATGCTGCAGCGCAGCCAAGCCATCTCACTCCTCTCCAAGACCAACCGAGCAGCTGAAGCGGCATTCCCACAGGCTGCGGGAGACCCCTGGGCCCCACGGCTAGGGGACCTCTGGCAGATGGCTGAGGATGAGTATGAGGAGCGGGAGGCTCCTGCCCGAGCGGCTTAGAAGGGCAGGAGGGAAAAAGAGAGGGCGGCGGAAGGAAGATGAGAGGAAGTTGCAGGGAGGAGGATAGGGGGCAAGGGGACTATGGTATGGTAGGAGGGAGCCACAGGACGGGAGGAGAGGGAGGTATTCGGGGTCGGGTGTTGCTGCTGGCCAGCATGTTTCAGTGCTAGGGGACTAGGGTGTACACACACGGCATGGCTGCTCGGCTTGCACTGCTTGCTTTGCTTTGCTCTGCTTGCTTGTTTGCATATTGGCTTGCATGTTTTGTTGGTTTGTTAGCTCTTGGTACCTGGTTGCCTACATGCTTAGACAGACTAGCTACAACCACCTCCTGCCATGTCTGTACCTCATGACCACTATCAATACATGACTACTTGAGAGAGAGAGAGAGAGAGAGAGAGAGAGAGAGAGAGAGAGAGAGAGAGAGAGATGAGGAGTGGAGGTGGGGGGGAGCCACGCGGTGAACCCGTCTTACGAACCCCCCTTTTGAAGGGGGAGGTGAGAGAGAGATGAGGAGAGGAGGTGGGGGGGAGCCACGCGGCGAACCCCTCTTACGAACCCCCAAAGCCACACCCCCTTTCAGCCACCCCCCTATACCTCACCCCCTTGTTCAGCCGCCACCCGGAACCGCACCCCTTCCGCCACCCCCTCACCCTCCCCCCACAGCGGCACGTGCGGCAGTGAGAGAGAGAGGAGGAGGGGCGGCAGCAGGTAGCTCACACCCGCCACCCCCAAACCCTCCCCCCCACTGCTGCACGCGCAGCAGGGAGAGAGAGGAGAAGGCGAGCGGCGGTGTAGCGGTGTGGCGCAGCAGCGCGCGGAGCGGCGTCAACCACCCACGCCCCCCCCTTCCCCCCGCCACCTCCTCCCACAGCGGAAGCCGCGGCGACGGGAAGCAGGGCGGCCGCGGCGACGGGAAGCAAGGCAGCGGGCGCTGCGGCGACGGGACGCGGGGCGCCGCGGCGACGGGACGCGGGGCGCCGCGGCGACGGGGCGTGGGGCACCGCGGCGACGGGATGCAGCGCGACGGATTGGGTGCCGCCATCGCGTCCGTCGCGGCCGTCATGTTGGGCGCCGTGACGAGCGCCACGACGGGCGCGACAGGGGCTGCGACGAGCAGCGCGACGAGAGGAGCGATGGCTAACGGTGGGCCCATAAATGAGATGGCCTAGGATCATGCCTGCTCTTATAGCATGTTAAAATAGGTTCTTAAGTCAAGCCTTAGTTGCCTAGGTTTTGGGTAGGAAGGTTGAGTGTCGAGAGTGATTGAACAAAGAAGTGGGTGCACTGTAGCATGTGGGTACAAGTTATAGGCAAGAATGCAAGGGGTGCACCACCAACATTAGGCTACACTACACTATGTTAATGCAAAGAGCAGTTATATAGAAATATGTTTCTTGACAGAGTCAAGGCAGAGAGAGCATTGGCAGTAGGAAAGGGAGTGTTGGGGATGAGAAAGGGGCGAGAGAGAGGGTTGGCAGCAGTGGGGAAGGCAGGAGGAGGAGAAGGGAGGGCAGCAGAGGGATTGGTTTGTGGTGGTTCGGGAGCTGGACGTTCGATTGGAGGCTCGCCGGCCATAGGTCCGGTAGGAAGAGGAGGCTCGGGAGAAGGCTCAGGAGCAGGAGGCGGGAGTGACACAGGCAGCTTGAAACTTAGCCTTGAAACTTAGCAGGCTCGGGAGCAGGACGCGAACTTCAAAGGCGCGTCAAGGCATGAATGTACCTTAAATGCTCTGTTGCATAAGGTTTGGAATTTTGAGACATTGCAGAGGGTTTGGATTTTTTTTTTACAAATTTACAAAGGAAAGGTGGGTTGACTTCTTACAGAATATATTCCTGTGAGTATCTTACAGAACATCCAATGTAAATAATTCACTAATGCGTCACGATAATTTGCTATGACACCAATAGCTTAGTACAGTCGGTGCAAGTTGCTGTATATCGGGATTGCAAACCTCAGGCCCACCGACTGAACCTCTTTGGTCAGGCCTCTTGGGTCTCCGTGTTTCCTAGGAAAGGCCGTACGTAACGCGGCCTTCCTAGGAAGGAGTCACAAGGAGTCACAATAGGCCAATGACGCTCTTCTTCCCAGTTGATATCTTCGGGTTCTTTGTGTCCGTAAGGGCGCGTTGCATAGTAGCGAAGTGGTCAAAATTCGATTACGCAGTACTGTACAGTCGAACGGGTTCACACCAAGATTAATATCCGCGTGGGGGAAAATGCCCAGAACACGGTCATTCGAGATAGGTTTTGATTCCACACATACAGTACCAGATCTACTTTTGAGTGGTTACCGGGTGTCAAAAAAACCACACACAACTTTGGCGTAATCTTTGTCTCACACGTTTTCAAGTAGCCGGTAACCCTAAATAGTCGCCTCGCCTCAGAATGATTATTTCCAACATCTAATTCCCTGCTGACTCCAGAAGGGTTTCTAAACCCATGTTTATCGCCGTCTTTTCTCTGGGCTGGGGGCTTCCGATGGTGTCCGCTGCTCGAAGCACGTTATTACAACAGTTCCCACCTGTATCCAAATTCCACCAATCCAAACCAGTGGCCACATTGACCCCGCGACTCGTAGTAGTATCTACATGCCACGTTGGTGCCACGTTTTGTTTCGTCTAACACGTTTTCAAGGACAGTGGCATTTCGGTGAAACAGCTCCCCACGATCGCGGCTGCCTTTCACCGGAATTGTACTGCACTGTACCGCGGAAACCCTATCACACCGACTCGGGTCGAGTTCACGCCTTGCGATGATCGCAATCACGCCAGGATATTCGACTTGGCCAACATGGGTAAACTGTTGAGATAGAGTGGATAGACTTCGCATCGCATCTCAATCAGAATCTTCTCGGTGCCCCTTTATGTCGAGTCGGGTCGAACCTCCGAAGGAGTCCTTTCGTGTCGAATGCCGTGCGTCACAGGTCGTCCCAGCGACGCGTACTACATAAACCAGGGTAGCTTGTGCAATCTAAAAATCAGTGCACTTTCACAGCAATCTTTCTTCCTTTCTCAGCGAT